TTCTTTTTATGAAATTTATATGATGCTGGTAGGTCATATCTCAGTTCTGCAAAACAAAAAAGATAAAAACTGTACTTCATCATAATCTGGCTTATAACAAGGAAGCCAGGTATTACAAATGTATTGTTTTCACTCATCCAGGTCTGACTTAATGTATCCCAAAGTTAGCCATGGCTAAATGAGCTTGATATTTCTCCCACAGGGCCATTTATGCTGAAATTTCAGATTTTGGTGAGATGATTAGAAAAGTATCAAATGGACCAAAAAATGATACGAAAATGATAGTAGCTGTCTATCTCCTAATCATCTAACAATATACCACAATAACGCTTGGTAGTGATAGTTAGTAGCGTTTGTTCTCTAAAAAATAATGGCAGTTCTCTAAAAGTGAATCCATTTTAAAGGATGACCATCAGTCTATCCTTTCATTTTTGTACCATAAATTCTAACCCTCTAGATAATGGCTTCTCAACAGGAGTCTTATTGAAATGAAAATAACAATTCATTAGATGTGTGGTGCTCAATATGAATTGCTGTGCAGTTGAACACCACACCTGGAGTATAGCAAGGCTCTGGCTCATTTAGGTATATACTATTTAAATTAAGGCTGTGGTAACTGCTTCATATCTAATAATACCTTAAGCAAGGCAAGGAATGAGCAATACTGAATACATTAAGACCAGTGGACCTGTTACTTATTAGGAACATTAGCATATCTAATTACATTTTTAACATGGTGCCAATTCAGTTTACTATCATGTTAAAAAAAAATTCTCCCTGCCCCTTACTGTATCTTTATTTCAGGCTTTTCAAATAACTTGCTCATCTTGATGTTTGTGATTATTATCTGGTTTACTAATAAAAATTTATCAGACATGAGTTAAAAAAAAAAAAGAAAAGCAGACAGCATAAGTTCTAAATCCAAGTTTCAGTGTGATGGGGCCATGGTGAGACCTGGGGTCTGGGGTGGAGTGTGTGGAGAAGGGCAGTGGCTTGTCCTGGTGTGTACACGAGGTCTCAGACACAGCTGCAGCGGCATCCCTTCCGGTCCTGACCCGGAGCACCTCTGTGGAGGCCTTCCACAGCCAGCACGTCACTGTATAGAGCTGCTGGTTTCCTGCTGGTTCCCCAGCCACCTCCCCTCAGAAGAACCACTTCCGATGTCTTCTCTATTTGCATTTTTGTGTTTTAGGCCATCCCCAGATTACTAGTTGAGTTCATTTTGTAAGTCAGAACAGATAGGTACTGTTCATACAAACGTCAGATGTTGTCTTAGTATTTAGCATAAAATACGTATTTCTGTGTATAAAAACTGTTAAAAGATACATTAAAACGTTGGTGGTGTTGTTGTTATGGTTGTTATGATGGGCTGTCAAGTTGCCCGCGACTCATAGAGACCCTATGTACAACAGCCCTGAACCAGGCTTTGTCCCTTACCAATCTTACTGTCTCCAACACACCTATCCCCATTGCCCCAGTGACGGAATCAGTTCATCTCATCAAGGGTCTTCCTCTCCTGTGCTGTCCCTCCACCCACTCAAACGTGACAACGTCCCTCTCCAAGGGCTGATCCCGTCTTGCAACATGTTCAGAGTATGTCAGATGAAGCTTCAGAATCCTTGCCTCCAAGGAGCAGCCTGGCTTCACCTTATTTTAGCAGTCTATGGTATATTCAGTACTCTTCTCCAGCACTACAGCTCAAAGGCATCAACTCTCCTTCTGTCACCCCTAGTCATTGTTAATATTTAAATAATGCATTATTACTGTTTTAATACAGTTTATTAGGAGCCATTGTATGTCCCTTGAATCTTTAATATAATCACTAAGCTGGAGGCAGGGCAGTTGCTTCCTCATCTTGTATTCCTACTCTTGTACTTATCTGTACTGAAAGAGACTTTACTGTGTCTCATTCACCTTAAGTGTAGGCTCAGCCTGGCCCAATCTAATTCTGTTGGTTTGAATGGCAAAACCTTTTCTCTGTCATCAGAGGTGTGCCTTCTCTTGTTCCTCCCTGTCCCTCACCACACATACCTGCCATTGATTCTCTGCTGACAGAGCAGTCAAAGGCACCCTGGGTGCTCAGCAGCCTTCAGGAAGGTCGTCTTAGTCAGGACTCTCTCCAGCCTCCTCTCACAGCCCAGGAGACCTGCCCAGGAAATACAGCAGCCCACTGCTGCCACAGAGCCAAGACGCTTGTGCTTCCAGCCTCAGCGCACCTCAGGAGCTCCCCCAGAGCCTATTGGTGCTGCAGCCAGATTGGCATTGCGTTTTGGACACACACTTTCACAGTGGAATCTTTTTCCTCAGAACCTTATGAGTCGTAACATGAAGCGTTGAGAAATGCCTTCACAGTTGCTGCATAATAAAATCTTGAGAGTGTTTACAATATTATTAAGTTGGCAATGATAAATTTTGCTTTATTTAAACTTTGTCTCCTTGACAATGTTTCCCATTCAGCAAATTGAGAACCTGTTTGTTCCTCTGTAACTTGATCTGGAACTCTCCTAGCCAAGATCTACTTGCCTTCATTTGGGACCATTCACAAATGACGCTCAGATGAATGCCAGCCAGTTTTTCCTACTGCATTTTTTCTATTTTTATGCACATGAACTGGCTTCTAAGGAACACGTGAGAAGTCTTCTGAATATCAATAATTAAAATAGCTTGCTTGCCCCCAGACTCACCTCGCTGTTCACCAAACAGAGCAGTGGGAAGCAGGAGGCTGGGATTTCACAGCTCAGAAGAGAAGTTCCTGAGCCCGACTCACCCCAAACCATTGCAGCCTTAAGAGCTGAAACCATCTCTGCCACCACTCTGGCTTCCTGGCTGCAAGGATGACAGTGCTTACAGCAGCTCAGAGGTGTCCAGTTTCACGACTGACCCCTGTGGGACCTGCCAGGTGGTGGAGCAGCTCAGCCTCTCCCGCTCCCTCCCAGGAGCCCCCTTGGTAGAAAACAGCAGCAGGCTGCAGTGGAGCCATGAACAGAGCCCCCTGGGAGCAGCTCGTTCAGCATGCCCGCTCCTGACAAAGAGCCAGAACCTGTCATCTTGCCACTTCAGTCATGTCTCCCCTGCAAGTGAAAATGCTTTTGGAATCAAGCAGCTTCCCTGCAGGCCTCCCTTGGCCAGGACTCAGTTGTCTCCATGCCCGTCCTTGGTGGCAGGGAGTCTGGGAATGTGCGATGCTGACATCGACAACTTCTGTCAGGGAGGTGGGCTCTTGCCAGCCAGAAGGAAAGCAGACACTGGCTGTTGGACCAGTCCCAGCCCTGTCAACCTCACCCTGTGCCAAATACGGAGAACCCTCAGTGGTGATACTGAGGAAACGTGTCCCCAAAAACTATGTATTGGAAATCCTAACATCTCTGCCTATAGATATAATATCATTTAGGAACGAGTTGCCTTCATTAAGTAAGAAACCCTGATGGTACTGTAGTTAAAAGAGCTTGGCTATTTACCAAGAGGTTGATGATTCAAATCCACTGCCACTCCTCAGGAAAAAGATTTGGTCATCTGCTTCTAGAAAGGTTTGTGACCTTGGAAATCCTGTGAGGCAGTTCTGCTCTGTCTTGTGCAGTCACTGTGGGTCAGAATGTACTCAGTGACAGGGAGATGGACTTGACTTAGTTGTTGGTTTGTCTCCTATGTTAATGAGGAAGGATTGGCATAGGATTCATTTTACATTTATAAAACATAAAAGAAACAGAGATGGGGTGTATGCCAAGCCGCATAAAGATCGTAAATGCTCAGAAGAGACAAGGAAGGACCTTCCACCAGAGCCTGCAGAGAAGTCTTCCCCCAGAGCCAGCGCTGTGACTTCTAGCCACCTCAGTTGTGAGAAAATAAGTCTCTTTTTGTTAAAGCCCCCCACTTTTGGTACCTCTGTTACAGCAGCACCCGACAACAAAGGTATGTAGTGAAGGCTCTGGCTTCCTGGCTCTGAGCTCTCCAGCCTTGTGTAAACAACATTCTTTTGGAAAACCTTGGTCTGTTCTCAGCTTCATGCTCTTAGGGACTCCTTAGCAAGCGTCCAGGCATTCTGACTGCTCGGTGCTACGGTGTTGCCAGGGTGCTTATGGCATATTTGCTGTCCTCAGACACTGCAGAAAGTTGACCTGCTTCCAGTTAAAATAAGAAACTGAAGCATTTGATTCATTTTGTTCAAGGTCATTTCCAAGACTGATAGACTTTGGTCCAGTTCTCCACCTCCACCTCTGAAGTGTAGCTGCTGCTTAAAATTTCATTGTCACCAAGAGAGCAGGCTGCACAGTTGGCATCTGTGGCCAAAAAGGAATACTTAATGGCTATAATAATTTTTTCTTTCTTCTTCTTGCCTGCTACTGGCAGTCATGGTTTTGTCTTATATCGTTTTTCAGTGAAGAGAAGATGACAGCCGCCCGCATCAGGAAATGCCACAAGTGTGGGACCGGACTCATCAAGTCCGAAGGCTGCAACCGCATGTCCTGCCGCTGCGGGGCCCAGATGTGCTACCTCTGCCGGGTGTCCATCAATGGCTACGACCACTTCTGCCAGCACCCTCGGTCGCCAGGAGCCCCCTGCCAGGAGTGTTCCAGATGCTCACTCTGGACAGACCCTACTGTGAGTGCCTGCTTGTTTGATGAACAGGGTTGTGTGTGTACAGGAAACTCTGGAAAGGGCTTAAAGGGGGTATTCTGTAGACCAGCCGCCAGGAAAGGCTGAGAAAGTAACCCAGAGCTAGTGTTCTGAAAGCAGCATGCCCAAACAATGTTAGAGACTAATTCCTGAACCCTTTGTTGTTCTTGTTGTGTGCCACCGAGTTGGAACCAACCCTTTGCTGACCCTCCGGCGAGTTTTCAGAGACAGTTAATCACACAGGAGTTTGACCATACTTCTCCCACAGAGCAGCTGGTGGATTCCAGCTGCAGCCTTCAAAACTCCAGTGCGACTTCTTGGAATTAGGCCCTCAGAGTTCATTCAACCCTTTAGGGGATGGCAATGTTCTCAAGCACAGACAAGTGAAGTTTCATGTTTGTGTAGAGCTAGCATAATGAGAATACCAAAATTTGAGATAAATCAGCCCCAAACTGAACACTAGACATAAATCAGGCACAGATATGCATTTTAAATTTTGTATGTAGGATCTCAGCAAATCAGGGCTAGTTTCATATAAAAATTCTGTGATTCCCTACCTGGTGTCTTCAGAGGTGGGAGAGGCATTTAATTAAAATCAAATATCTGTTCATGATTTAAGCTGAAAAAAAAATAGTAGTAGGCAGATACCTGCATAAAGCAGTTAGTTGTTCATTTATTTAGTAATTAAAGTACACATTTGCATTGGTAAAACCCTGCTCTGACTGTCAATACGGTTTGGTCATCAGTGAAGATAGCCCCGCTACCAGGATATGAAGCTTCAGACGTTCACTGGTTGATGTGGGAGCTGACTTGCTCTGTGGCATAAAAACCGTAAAGCCACAGACGGGCTGGAAAGCATTGTGTCAACAGGGCAGCAGCTTCAGTGGCAAGGAATTCCCTCCTAATTTGGGGCATGTGAGCATCCTTGAGGAGGTGCATCAAAGCTCCCTGGAAGTGGCCTTGTGAGAAACCGTCACTCCTCTGGCTTTCACCTGGGACAGATGACAGTGACTTGGATACTGGGGACCGTACCTTGTCCTGGTTGTGCGAGCTAGTATTACCAGATGATTTCTCTACAAACGGTAGTGCAGTTCCCTTCTGAACTCTCTGTAGGATTTATATCTCTGTTTGGTTTTGGGTTTTGGGGGTTTTTTCATTGAAAATATATTGTAATATATATGGGAAAAGAAATGTTATATTTGATCCAGCTTTTAAAAATGAGCCTAATTTTTACCACAAATCAGACATGGGCAGTCCTATATTACATGAAAGTAATCAGAAGAAAGGGGCAAATGGAGACCAGAAGAGACACGGGAGAATTTTTCATGTATGGTGAGATTCGTTCCCTGGTTCCTTGTCATTGTCAAGTATTGCCAAGACAATGCTGGACTAAAGGGCCCCTCTGCTCGTGGCGTTTACCACCTCATATGGTCTGTGAAGGCAATACAGGGGTGATGGGATCGAGGTTAGCAGGGGAGGCCTGGGAAGAACAGCAGCAGGGCTGCCTGAGAAGGCTCTAGATGTGCCTCTTAATTAAAGAGCCGATAGGAGATCTCAGTGGCTGGAGGAGTTGAGCTGATGGAGCCACAGGCTGGCTCAGTGGCTGGTTCAGCCCCCATTCAGGCCCTGGGATCAGAAGCGAACTCTACCAGCTCTGAGTGATTGATACTCACTGCTGTGTGGAGATAGGAAACAATAACTAGATTTTGGTCTTGGGTAATCGTTTGAAAATACCTCAAGGGTAGGCTAAAAATACTCTTTTTCTTTGGCCACAGCTACTGTAGGAGGGTTCCCACACCTGTGGCCATCCAGTGGGCTCTGACTCCACGGCAGCTCTGTGGAAGAGAGAAGGACTGCCTGCAGGGTTTTCAGGTGGGATCTGCACAGACGCAGACAGCTCTGGCTTTCTCTCATGGCTCAGTGGGTACATTCCAGCCACTAATCTTTTAGTTAGCAGCCCAGTGTTTAATTCACTACTGAAGGTCCTACTCAAAGATAATGGTGAATGAAAAGCAGAGAAAATAGTTAAGACATACTTAATGATCTTTATAAATGTTCTTAATGTTTAAAGTGCCATGTAACTCAGTAAGAAACCTGTAAACAGCCCTGTAGTACATAAGAATTGATTTCTTTGTGAATATTTCATTTTTGTTAAGTGTTGCCGAGTCTGAACCAAGTCTTTGCTGATCTAGCAGGTTTTCAGAGGCTGTAGATTGCATAGCAGGAAATTGCCATTCTTCCTGTCACAGAGCAGCTGGTGGATTCAAACCATTGTCTCTGGGTTGGCAACACTACCAGAGCTTCCTGGTGAGCAGTGGCTTAAAGAAGACGTTTCTCCCTCCGTCATGAATGTGTAGAGGGGAGCAGTCTGGACAGGGCAGGGCCACTTTGCCTGTGAAATCAAGACCCATGACCTCCAGCTGAGGGTCCCCTGTGGTCATGGTCTGGAAGGAGCTTCCACAGTCGCTGCCACTTAATCTTGTTGTTGTTTGGTCCCTTCAAGTCAGTTGTCAAGTCAGTTTGTAACCTGTGCTGCTTGAACATTGTGTCTCCATGAGGCCCTCCCTCTCTTGTGCTGAAGCCCTTGCATGATGGGCCTCTGAGGGCTGGTTCCCCTGATAACGTGCCCCGGCCCTGGAGGAGCGTGCTGGCTGCACCTCCATGACGGTGACTTGGTTTTCCTGTCAGCACGGGAGTGCAGCACTCTGCACAATACCCTTCTTTTCTTAAGGGGTTTTTTGTTTTGTTTTGTTTTTTATTTTTTGTGTGTACCATCAAATGGGATCTGACTGGTACAGGAGGAGATTGCCCCTCTTTCTCCAGCAGAGCATCTGGTGGATTTGAACTGCGTACCTCTGGGGTTGCAGTGCAACTTCTTGCCACTAGGCCACCAGAGCTCCCTGATACCTTGTTTCTAAAGCAGAGATTCTTCAGTTTTCCTCATTCATTGTCCACCTCTCGCAGTCATGTGAGTAGATTGGACACACTTAGACTTGACCTAGGTGCATCTTAGTCCTTCTACATCTTTAAGAACATTGGCAGCACATTGGCCCAGTGCCATCTGTCATTGCATTTCTTGACAGCTGTATTGGGGACCCTTGACTGTGGATCAAAGTGAACTTAAATCTTTGCCCACTTGTCTGTCATGGTGTAGTCCACACTGAAGCCATATTCTTTGATCTTCAGTAAGAGCTTCAGGTCTTTGTTTTCTTTTTCATTTCAGTGAAGGTTTACAAACTATACAGACCACAACAGCAACATCACTCTGTTTATCTGGGGTCATTTTCCCTTCCATATGATACTGGTAATTACTTTTTCCTTCTCTTTGAAAAATTATGACAGGATTGCATTGTATTTTTAGATTGTATTTTCTCATTCAGGAAGCTGTTTGGCTTTATTTTCTTTAAAAGTTCTTTTTATAACTGACTTTTGCATGTTGTTCTTTGCTGAATTGACCCATCAGATCCAGCAATTTACTTGCCAAGTCTTTGTGATTCTGTTTATAGGATGTAGGTGTAGTCTGCTCCTAGAGGGCCATCCTCTGCCGACTTGAATCCACCAGCTGCTCCAGAAAGATGAGCAGTCTTCTTCCTAATGTTGAGGTATCCTTGCATACAAAGTATGACTCCCACTCATTCATGACTATGGAGCCTTTGCCGGGGCCTAGACTTCTTTAAGAGTCTGACCTGGACCAGAAGCCTGAGATGAGGTCTTAGCTGGCACCTGAATTGAGGACTTTGCTGGAGCTTCTCTCTAGCTTTCAGCCTCGGCTTTGGATTTTGGCAGACAAAGCCTGAGCCCCTTGTCAGTGTGGGCCCAAGCATGCTTTCCAAACCTGCTATGTAGGTGAGTTGGCTGAGCCTGGGGGCGTGGAGTGGACAAGGATCCTCAGTTTAACAAGACCTTTGACAGCCTCTTGATGCGATCTGTTCATCTACGCCTTGGCTTTGTTGGCCTGCCTCTTCTTCAGGCCTTTGTACTTCTTGACAAAGCACATTTGGGGTCTGCTCCCTTAAGAGACAATGTTGTGATGGTGGTTTCTCGAAGCCATTTGCGCTCCTGGACTGGCATGTCTGCACCCGTGCCCCTCCACCGCCTGTGAATCTCAGACGCCTGGGGATATTTTTATGATCAGTCTCTGCCTCTGCTTCTGTTAGTTTAGGTGGACAGGGAGTTTCTGAAAATGTGTCCATTTCTTCTAATAGTAGTCTATTATCCTTATTTTGGTTGGTTCTGTGAAGACGTCACCCATTTTACATCTTACTCAGATTATTTTCACCTTTTCCTTAGCTGTGCCAGGGCCTTGTCGGTTTTATTAATCCTTTCAAAAAACCAACTTAAAGTTTTGCAAACCCTTTCTATTGTTTTTCCCTATTGCATGTACTATTTCCCCCCTATTGCATATTCTTTTGCAATATTCTGTTAATTAGTTCCTTTTCTTCTGGAGACTTTAGGTTCTGATTGCTGTTCTTTTCCTCAGATACTGGGTTAAAGTGTTGCGCTTTTTTTTTTAATCGCATGTGTTTATTGCTATAAACTGACCTCCGAGTCTTCTTTTGCTTTGTCCCAAAGATTGTGGTATTTTGTGTTTTTATTCGTTTCAATAAATTTATCTTCTGTTACCCACTCTTGCTCAAACATAGTATTATTTCACTTCCAGGCACTTGTTTGGGTGGTTCCCCCCTTTGCTTTCTCTGTTACCTGGTTTCTAAGTTGACAGCATTTCATTTATTGAGGCTTGCATTGTGACCTCACATATGGCCTGCTCTGGAGAGTGCTCCATGTGCCCTGGAGAAGACTAGATTGTGCTCTTGTTGGCTGGAGTGTTTTATATGTCTGCAAGATTTAGTTGATTGTGTTCTTTCTGCATCTTTATTCTTTCTAGTCTTTCTATCCTTCATCAAGAGTGTATAATGAAGTTTCCGATTATGATGATGATGGAGATGAACAGGGAGCTCTGGTGGCTTCGTGGTCAGGAGTTCCGC